TACTTAATATCAGTGAGTTCCAGATAATACTGCTAGACAAATAGAGTGCAGATGGACATTCATTAACAACCCTAATGAGGACACTGTCTGAGAAGACCGCTCCACCACCACAACTTGGCTGTAATAGGAGTTTCTGCTCTGTTTTAGTGTTAACAGTTTATTTCCTCAGCTCTTCTCATTTGCAGAAAGCAGCAAAGAATTAAAAGTTGCCATTACCTTCTTTTTTGTGAAGACTTTATTAGATGACCTTTAGAGGCCTCTGAAATTATATACTTCTCCTTTGGGCTATATTATTTCATTTTTTAAATTTTGGAATGCAACCCATCTTTTGGCAGAATAGTCTTTATCAGTCTCATTAAAACATGCCTTTTTTTTTTTTCTACTTGCTCTTTCTTGTTTCTGAAGTGGAGTAAAGGCTATTGACCTGTTCCTCAGCCAGTTCCAAAGGACATCGGTTTGTTTTAGACTGTTTGTTTAAGGAATTCAAAAAGTGGTCAGGCCTTTGCATTTATTCGTATGCTCTGAGTAGTATTATGAAAGAGCGTGCTAAAGTCTGTAGGATAAAATTATGTACAGTCAGCAGAAGTTTATTTAGCAAGGTCCAAAGCTAAATACTACTTGCTAGAAAGTTCAGAGGTGAGGTGAGGGTTGGGGAAGCAGGGTGAGTCCAAAGTTGCATGGTAAAAGAGGCCATCCTCCAAATGTGGGGTCTTTAATGACGACTGTAGATCAAAATTCAATAATTTAGTAACTTTGGTTCACTAGAAATGACATAAATGTTTGCACTAAGAATTCTAGCTATTGGTATATTGCCTTTTAAAGCTGCTGCAGACCTTAACGTAAAGAGCAAGTAAGCACAAATTCAACTGGAAACATCACTACACTTCACTTAGTTTCACGCAGCGGGGATGATCAGGATAGGCACATATAAATTGAAGCATATGTCTTTTTGTGGACAAAAAAATAGAGAAAAATGCAAAGGAGGTAAATTTTACTTCTTTCAGTGATAATAAGAAATGTTACTTGGCCATGCACTTGCTAGCTAACCTCATCTCATGCTCTAACATAGGTAAGTTTCCTAGAAGTGAATTCCTAGTTTCCTAAATTGCAACAAGTATTAGAATTCAACAGGCCCCATGCTGAGGTTCTTCTCTGCTAGTGTCTATCAGAAATGTGGAGATGAAACCTAACCTATGAAACACAAACTCCTAATGCAGCCATCATAATTAATAGAAAATAGCTGGAACTACATTTCCCAATTTTGTTGTAAACCCTCAGTGCTAGCATGGTTCAGGCCTTGAAAGAGTAATGATGACCTTTTTTTGTGATAATGTATATGTAAGTTATATTATTAAATTAGCATTTGTTCAGGAACTACATTTCTCTGATAATAATATTAATATACTTTTAGAAGACTTTTGAATCTAATGAGGTTTTCATTAGAATATCACAGAAACTTTAGGTGGCATGAGATAAAAAAAAGTAGGTCTGTCTTAAATAGAAATCGAATGTCTACTATATGACGGAAACTACAGAGACAGTTGAAATTAACATTTTAAGTCAAATTCTGATGTAAACTAAAGTATTTGCATGACTAAATTAATTATAAATTACCCTTAAGAACTAGTTATAGAATGGTGGCAGACTATATCAAGACTTTTGTTTGTCATATGTGCTGTTCTATCCAAATAGTTTAATGAGAGATCCAACTAATATTTTACTCCAAAACTTCATGACTCATGTTCCTCCTGAGTTCTGACCTATTACCTTGAAAAGGACAAATCACATTAAATAAAGCCTTCTATTAAAACTTTTTCCCTTTTCAGAACTTACATAAATTTTAAAGAACTCTTTCAAAGTCACTCTACTTTCAGATAGAACATGATAGATATTTAAAAGCAAGTTGGGTAATGTGGCTTTGTTGATATTGGGAGCTAGCCTGAGTAATTCCAAATCCCATTTACTCTTATTTCCATATCTAAATTTTCAACTCTCTGCTTGGATTTTTACATTGCTACTGAACAAACTGTTCATTTTAAAACTGTCATTTACCCTGTCTTTCCCATACAAACTATGCCATGGTTAACCAAAGTGTACAAAAAGGAAAGTTTCTGGAAGTATCTAGCTAATAAAATGAAGGCATAACAGAGCTGGAATATCACAATTTTGCTACCCCTAATGAATCACTGGATGTAGATACTGAGCGTCAACTGATGCCTAAACATCTCAAAAAGAGTGACAATAAGATATTATGTACCTCCTGATGGAAATACACACTACTACCTATGAAGTTTTCTTGCCAACCAAATTCTAACTTGAATCTGCTCAAGCTTCTAAAGCTAGTAACAATTTTACAAAAACACAGTAGTCAGAAGTACATGTCAACCTGTATGCTAGAGATACCATCAACAAAATCTAGACTGGAAAATTTTATAACATAAAACAAATAAATTGCAAGAAAACAAAGGAGAAAATAAAAAGGTTGGAGGGGGCAAGTAGAGATTAAGAGAGACTGAAAAGATGCATCAACCAATTGCAATGTTAAAAAAAAAAGACAACTTTTGGAAATTTATACAGTGTATTACTTAACCTCTTTGAGCCTCAGTTTCCTCATCTATACAATGGGACTAGTCACAGGACTGTTGTAAGGATTATATGAGCTACTGTTGTAAATCATTTAGCATGGTTTATATCAGATACCTGCTAGTTACCTGCAAATACCACATCTGAGCTAAAAGAATGACGAAGCTATAAACTGAGGCTGCCTGCTATGACTTCTGGATTAATCTTAGGATTCCTTTGGTCTGTTTCCTAGATATTGAAGAAGTTCCTTGGGTTGCAACAATGCACATGATTGAAACCTATGTCAAGTAAAAGGCTCTTCATTTCGGTTTCTCTATCTCCTCTGGAAGTCTCGTTCACCAATATATTGGTAAAATAAAATGTTAACTATTTGGGGACTGTTATTCACTACCCTCATTGAATACCTATTAGAACAAATATATTGGCTAATTAATGTTTAATAAAACTATACTCTTCTAGCTATTTTTTATTAACCTGTCATCTTAAAAAATTCAAATTCCTTACTTTCATTTTGGTGGAATCAACAAAAATTTTGAGTAGTTTTTTGTTGGCATATATGGTTTTAATATTGAATGGCTTTTTTTCTGGATAATGATGGAAAGAATACGCAGAAGTCAGTTTAAAGTTAAGGCTAAAGTCAGGGAGGAATCTATTACATTTTATGTGCTCATACAAATTTTATCATTACCGATTTTCACATTGTTAACATCTCAATAACTTACAATAATGTTGTAAAAATAATGTTATAGATTAGCTATTTCTAACCAAGTTTTACAATAGGCTAGAAAATTATAAACTCCAAAATGATTAATTAATCACTACCACTCTCATTCTAGACATGAGTATTTCTTGCAGAAAAGGATGTGTGGCTACAATCCCTCTTCCCTTGACACATACATGCACACCTATAAGGGGGAATGGGCAAGGGGAGTCCATGCAATGTGTCTCTCCTTGAGACCTGAATGGCTGGGTTTTAATCAGCCATTTCTCTCTTCAATTGATATCTAGACCTCAGGTTACGTGCAGACTAGTTTTGCAACAAAAATAGGCTGGGGAACTACTGCCTCAGGTTAACCTCCAAGGGTACACCTGAGAAAGGAACAGCTGCTCCATTGTGTAGGGTAAAAAGTGCTTGCAGGTTGTCCAGATGGACTGTGACATCTCATCTTCCGTGTGAAATAGGCTGCCCCATTCTATGCCTGTGCCATGTGACATTTGTTTTTTAAAAATATATATATTAAAAGGAAATCAATAAATACAATTTAATGAAAATTGTACATATGAAAGACAACATGATAAAGTGAATGAATGCTTCAAAAAAATAAGTGATAAAATGAGCATAACAAAAAAACAAAAAAGAAAGTCATATGGCTGTAAGAGTACAAACTAATGACCCTACTAGTGTTTCTTGAACTGGGATGGATACAGCTGAGCAGTGGACATCACTTGAGAATGTCCTGTCAGTTTCCCTAGGGCTGAGGTCCTCAAAGATAGGGCCTCAAAGCAGGGGCTAATGGCCATGGTGTCAAGATATACATAGATCTCTATCTACAAGAGTAGATGAGGGGAATATGGTCTTGCCTCCAATTGCAACCCCTGACTCACACATTCAGACATACTGGCCACCTTCCTGTTCCTCAAAAAAGCCCAGTTTTTCTGTCTCAGAGCATTTTCATTCGCTCTTTTTTCCATCTAGAAGATTTCCCCTAGATGTTCTCATGGCTTCATAGCTGGCTTGTTCTGCCATTGAGATCTCAAGTCAAATATCATCTGCTTAGAGAGGCTTTTCCTGACCATCTTATCTAACGTGACCCCCTCCAAGTCATTATCTTAATATTATTTCTTCATGACATCTCTCATTAAAATATAAGCTTCGTAAAAGAAAAGGATCTATCTATATTGTTGAAGGTCTTAGTCATAACATTTAGATTCTAGATTAATAAAAGGCCAAACAGTAGATATTTGAGGATTTGCAAGACATACAATTTCTTTCAGAACTACTCAACTCTGCCATTGTAGCTCAAAGCCACCATAGATAAAATGTAAATGTATGGGCATGGTTGTGTTCTAATAAAACTTTATTTACAAAACAGGCAGCTGGCCAGATTTGGCCTGTGGCTATAATTTGTCAACCCCTGCTCTAGAACATTGTATTGGAACACAGTACTCAGTAAATATTTTTAAGTACATGAACAGAAATCTCTTTTTACTTTGATCGATAAAAGGTAATGATTGTCCACTTGTTACTCTATTCCAATCAAATGAAAAGGAGATACATATATGGCTTTAACATAAATCCTTACCCCTGATAATACGGAGTAAAAGGTGCACTAAATTTGTTGGTGGTAACCTAGTTGTGCCAATGTGACCTTATCTGACTTTACTCTTCATCTTATTTCTCATTTTTAAACTCACAGGTACAGACAGAGCTGTCTTTACACAAAGCCAGATTATATGGCCAAGAAAAGGATGTAACTTCGAGTCTGTTTCTAGAGTGCTGGAAACACAGTACCGACAATGAGAACACTGGACAAGGGATCAGGAAATCAGGCTTTAGTAGTATGACTTATGAGTTGTTGGTCATCTCTAACCTCTCTGAGATAGACATTGTTCACCTGTAAAATATAAAATATATACATAAAAAAGAAAGAATGTCTGATCTCTATTTCTAAAACATGATTAAGTTATAATTTTGTTATCGTGACACTTTAACTGCTACACATGCTCAATGCAGTCTTGCCCTACAGCTAAGAACCACAAGCAGATTCCGGCTTTTGTGTAAGCCATACAAGAGAAGAAATAATAAAGAAATAAAGAAAATACTATAAAATCATGTTGATGGCCTATTAAAATATTTTTATTGCTAAATAAGTGGGAATGCATAAGTGGTTAGAGTGATAGGTACTATTCCAGTTTTATGTTTATAGAGGTAGAACCACTTCCTTTTTCTATTTAATGAAATATTGGTAGAAAAAAAAATATCCTCTGGCTGTTTCTTTTTCTCCTTTATTGTAGTGAAAGCAAGCCATAAAATAGTATTTTAAGAAATAGATAAGACATACATAGCTTTTTAGACCACCTTCTGGCCCTGTGTGTTGATATTTTTTTTTACATAAACGTAAAATGATGATTATCAGGGTAAATGGTAGGAAGAAGTATAGGAATAATTCAAAGCTTAAGAGTTCCTTCCACATGTTAACCTGGTAAACTCTGCAAGGTATAGATGACATTAATGGCACAATTCCTGCAAGCAAACAGCAGTGTGCTTAGAGGCTGGTTGTCACACTTTTCCCCTCTTAATCTTGTTAGAAAAATAGTTTTCCCTAAGTAGATGATGGACTTGTACTCTCAAAATATGGCCCATGGGCCACCCGCCTAAATTAGCATCATTTGTGACGCTTGTTAAAAAGTTGTATTCCTGGTTTGCACCTGAGGCCATTTGGATGGGTCCCAGGTGTCTGCAGTTGATTAAGTCCTCAGGTGCAATTTATACACAATAACATCTGAGGATCACTAGATTAAGAATTCACATTCTACTACATCAGATTAATGATACAGTGAAATTCAGATCCTATTTTTTATAGTTCAATATTCACAGAATGTGGAAGCTATTTTTATGGCTTTAAAAATGTAAAATATGTTTTAAAAATCTGGAAAATAAAAAAAAGGAAAAAACTCATTCCAAAATACTGCTATTGAGGAACAAACACTTAATATTTGGTGAATATTTGGGTGAATTTCCTTCCAGTGTCTGGATGTCATAATATGATCATAGACTGATGGCAGGTGCTGTGTTGTGTGTCTATCACAGTATCCCCAGCTGCTAGCACAATGCCTGACATAGCACACATTCAAATATTGTTGAGTGAACAAAGTGAATAAATGAAAGGAAACGGCATCAAATTGTGAGTTTGGTTTTGGCTATATAGACACTTTCTATAAAAATATGCCAGAATTAAACTGAATATCATTTTCTGATTCCCACAGGCATCAGATCAATAACAATATCAATAACTAGTACTTTTGCACCAGACATTTTTCTAGAGTTTTACTCACAATGTTGCGAGATTCTCGAACAGAGAGATGGGACACCAAGGCTATAAGCAGGAAGCAGCATATATTGATACCAACAACGGCTCAAAAGATTCTCATCCAAAGGCTGAGCCCCAATTGTAACATAGCCGGCAGTTTTATACAGTCTTCTATATCTGCATTTCTACACAGCTGCAGATGTTCCATATAAGGAAGAACAATGATTGGCTGACTGGTTAAGGGGGAGGGGAGTAGTCAGGAACTAACTTGTTGGAGCAGGAAATGGCAGGGTCAAGCTGCCACAACATTAATCCTAACAACAATATGCCGTGTGTTATTTTTATTCCCATTTTTACCAGGAAAGGGGAGCATAGAATGGTTAGGTAACTAATCCAATACCACACAGACAGTATGTGACAAGACTGACTCCTGAGCCCACTGATAATATTTTATGAGACTTGGTTAACAAATACATTTTTGGTCTAATGTAAGCAAATACAAATGTACCTGATAGTGAGCACTCCAAATATAGGAAACTCTAATTAGGTAATTATATGACAATTATGACTTATACCTGGCATCTGTTTATTCAGTCTGCTCCTTTTCAAAACTGCAAATACGTCTGCATTACTTCAAGTGTGGAATGCTGTTTACATGGCAGTTTCCTCTGTGCAAATCCGGGTATAATGTTCCTAACTCCAATAAACGTGTTTATTTTGCCTGCATTTCAGTTTACTACACTGGCCAAATAAAAAAGCAAGCACACATTCCTAATGCTAAAAATGAATAAAGGTCAGGTAACACAAGTCATCTTTTACCTTCGGCGACAAAAAAAAAATAAAAAATAAAAATAATAAAGCCCAGGATCTAAGATCCCACACTTTCTGTTCACCAAGTGTTAAAGCCAATGGTCGCTCTAGGTCCTAGGAATAAGATCCTCTGAGGGCAGCAAAAATAAAAGAATCTAAAACCCCGACTGATTCTCAACCTAGCTCATCCCTAAAGGAACCCGGTATAGCTAAACCACACATCACACAAACCTGCATGAGCAAGAGCCATTCCCTCTTTAAGATATGCTTGAAAGCCACGGAGCCCAACTAACAGCAGGACCAGTGCCCTAGCCCTCTACATCCTCGTCCTCCCCACTGCTTGCACAGCCATCGCAGCCTCCGGGGGCTGGGGACAGAGGCCGGTGGCGGGTGGGTCCTTGCGGAGACTCTGCGAACGTTGGCCGCGCGCGGCAGCCGCCAACTGGGCCTGCAAATCACCGCCCGCCCGGCAGGGGGAGCCG